AACTATGGCCCCTTCATGACTCGTGGACTTCAACTCCCAGAATTCCTGAGCCAGCATGGGGGAACTATGGCCCCTTCATGACTCGTGGACTTCAACTCCCAGAATTCCTGAGCCAGCCATGCTGAGGCGACAGGGAGAGGATTCCAAGCTGAGCCATGCTGGCTCAGGAATTCTGGGAGTTGAAGTCCACAGATCATAAAAGAGTCAAGGTTGCCTACCCCTGGTCTAGTGGTTAAGGCACCAGGCTAGAAAGCGACGGTGAGTTCAAGTCCCGCCTTAGCCATGAAAGCCAGCTGGGTGACCTTGGGCCAGTCACTCTCTCAGCCCAACCCACCTCACAGGGTTGGTGTTTGTGGAGAAAATAGGAGGAGGAAGGTGTGTTAGATATCTTCCATAGCTTCGGCAGGAAACAAATAAATAAAAAATAAAATAACGTCTACTAAACCCAGTTTGAATCCTTTTGATTCCACAATCATAAAAACATAAGATTTTCTTTTCTCCTCTGTTCCTCAATCATCATGCAAAAGTTACTGATTAGAATCAGAATTGAGCTGGAAGGGACCTTGGAGGTCTTCTAGTCCAGCCCTCTGCTCAAGCAGGAGACTCTATATACCCGTGGTGGCGAACCTATGGCACGGGTGCCAGAGGCGGCACTCAGAGCCCTCTCTGTGGGCACGCGCGCCGTCGCCCCAGTCCTAGGCCTTCAGCTGGGTTTTATAAAAACTTTTTGCTTTAGGCCTCTGCCGCTGTGTGCAAAAAAAAAAAAAGGTTCAATCAATTTCAACTTCTCGCGGGGAAAAAAAGATCTTGCAAAATTGGAATTGATTGATTGAACTTTTTAGTCCCACCTAGTCTGCCGTTACCACCGAAGCCACGGCCACCCAATGGGCCATCCCCACCCAATGGGCCATGCCCACCCGGCACCCACGATACATAAGTGGGTTTTGGGTTGCAGTTTGGGCACTCGGTCTCTAAAGGGTTCGCCATCACTGCTATATACAATTCCAGACAAGTGGCTGTCCAGTCTCTTCTTAAAAAGCCTCCAGTGATGGAGCACTCACAATGTCTGAAGGCAAAACTGTTCCACTGGTTCATTGTCCTCATTGTTAGGAAGTTTCTCCTTAATTCCAGGTTGCTCCTCTCCTTGATTAGTTTCCATCCATTGTTTCTTGTCCTGTCCTCTGGTGCTTTGGAGAATAATGTGACCCTCCCACTTCTTTGTGGCAGCCTCTCAAATGCTGGAATAGTGCTATCATGTCATCCCTGGTTCTTCTTTTCTCTAGACTATCATTACTAATGATAAAAGCAAGGATGGAAGACCCAAAATCTATCCTGGTTCCAGCATGTTGGACTTCCTTCCCATCAATCAAGGGTCTCCACATTCTTGAGCCACTGCATAAAATTAGGCATCTGAAAAGCAAGAACCAAAGTTTATCCTGGTTATAAGGGTCTGTCCGGTATAATTCAGAAGAAGGCCGATCCCCTCTTCTTTCCCCTCTCCTCATGCTGGGACTGTCCACTCGTGCTGCAAAGAGGAGGGAAAAAGCAGGCAGGGTCAGTCTGGGAGGAAGCCCAGAGGAGGAATCCCACCGTCCAGGCTGGGAGATCAGCAAAGATCAGCCCAGCAAAGGAGGAGAAGGAGCCGCCTCAAGGGAGGGATCAGCCAGGTGGGATTTCCAGTGTTACAAGAGGGGAAGGGCAGGGCTGGGATTGGCTCCTGAGGTGGGTGAGAACCTGCCCCACATGTATGGATGCTTCCCCTCAAATAGATGAATCCAACTCTAGTCCATGTTGTCCTCAAGAGACAAATGCAAATGGATTACAATGGCCTCCAGAGATCCCAGGTCTCCCTTCAGCATGTGGACGGAGGGATTCCCAGATGGGCTCAAGGAAGGGAGAGAAGCCCCGTCTCCATCCATGACTGCAGGACCCTCAAGAAGTCCCTCGTCTGCCCCTTCCCTTTTCTCCCCCTTGCAGGGGGAACACTCCAATCTCCTCTTTGCAGGTCTCTGAGCCTCCTGATCCAAGACAGTCAGAGCCTGAGAGTCTGGCCTTGCAGGAGGAGAGTTTGGGGGCAGGTAGATCCCTCTCCAGAGCCCCACTGGCTCTCCCTCAAATTCCTTCCCTTGCAGTGTTTGAGATGAACAGCAGAGAGAAGAGGGATTTCCCAAAGTATCTTCATCATCAACTGGTCCTTGGACCTCAAAGCCCTCCCCTCCCTCCCTCCCCCCCATACAGCCTCCATGGGGGCCACTCACCTGTGAGGGGGCTGCTAAATGGCCTGGTTCCTCCCTGCATTGGAGAGAAAGACACAGAGTGAGTATCTGCCTTGTCTGGATCCTCTGAGGAGGACAAAACTCTCTCTTCGCCATTCAACCTCTGCAGCTTCACGAAACTCTCAGAGGAGACCAGCCTATATCTATCTATCTATCTATCTATCTATCTATCTATCTATCTATCTATCTATCTATCTATCTATCTATCTATCTATCTATCTATCTATCTATCTATCTATCTATCTATCTATCTATCTATCTATCTATCTATCTATCTATCTATCTATCTATCTATCTATCTATCTATCTATCTATCTATCTATCTATCTATCTATCNTCTATCATCTATCTATCTATCTATCTATCTATCTATCTATCTATCATCTATCTATCTATCTATCTATCTATCTATCATCTACATCATCTATCTATCTATCTATCTATCTATCATCTATATCATCTATCTATCTATCTATCTATCTATCTATCTATCTATCTATCATCTACATCATCTATCTATCTATCTATCTATCTATCTATCTATCTATCTATCTATCATCTACATCATCTATCTATCTATCTATCTATCTATCTATCTATCTATCTATCTATCTATCTATCTATCTATCTATCAATCTATCATCTATATCATCTATATCATCTATCTATCTATCTATCTATCTATCTATCTATCTATCTATCTATCTATCTATCTATCTATCTATCTATCTATCTATCTATCTATCTATCTATTTTTAAACATTCATGCCATCTGTCTCTCCAAGTTCCTCCTAGTTGGAAAACAGGGCAGATTCCCAAGTCAGAGGAAATCTTCCACCCAGATGTGTCTTCTCACCTTCTTGAGGATTCCAAATGTTTCCCTTTGGGGTCTTCTGAGAACAGCCTGGCTGTTTATAAAAAGGAGCCCTCCTTCCCCAGTCTAGTTCTTAGGAGGAAACAGCACAACTCTGCAGCTTCATGAGTTTCCTTTCTGTTTAAATACACCCACACCTCAAGGGCGGCGCCTCTGGTCCCTGCTCTAAGTTGGAGATTACCAGGAAAGAGGACAATTCACTCACTCGGTGCTGCTCTGTAGTCACCTTGATGTCTCTCTGCAAGGATAAAAATCAGTGAAAGCTCAAAAGAACCCACTAGAGATCATCCAATCTCTCCCCCTGTAGGAGAAAGAACCCCAGGGGATATTTCACAGTCCCTTTGACCCCCTCAACAAAGGCAGAAAGATCTTCAAAATACAAAGAGCAACGAAGATGATCAGGGGACTGGAGGCTAAAGCATATAAGGAACGGCTGCTGGAATTGGGTATGTCTAATTCAGTGGTGGCGAACCTATGGCACGGGTGCCAGAGGCGGCACTCAGAGCCCTCTCTGTGGGCACGTGCGCCGTCGCCCCAGCCCTAGGCCTTCAGCTGGGTTTTATAAAACCTTTTCACTTTAGGCATCCGCCGCCGTGTACAAAAAAAAAGGTTCAATCAATCAGTCAATTTCAACTTCTTGCAGGAAAAAAAAAAAAGATCTTGCAAAGTTGGAATTGATTGATTGAACTTTTTAGTCCCACCGAGTCTACCATTACCACCGCAGCGACACCCACCCAATGGGCCACATCCACCCAATGGGCCACACCCACCCGGCACCCGACGATGCATAAGTGGGTTTTGGGTTGCAGTTTGGGCACTCGGTCTCTAAAAGATTCTCCATCACTGGTCTAGTTTAACGAAGAGAAGGACAAGGGGGGACATGATAGCAGTGTTCCTGTATCTCAGGGGCTGCCCCAAAGAAGAGGGAGTCAAGCTATTTTCCAAGGCGCCTGAAGGCAGAACAAGAAGCAACGGATGGAAACTAATCCAGGAGAGAAGCAACCTAGAACTAAGGAGAAACTTCTGACAGTTAGAACAATTAACCAGTGGAACAACCTGCCTCCAGAAGTGGTGAATGCTCCAACACTGGAGGTTTTTAAGAAGAGACTAGACAACCATTTGTCCGAAATGGTATAGGGTTTCCTGCCTGAGCAGGGGGTTTGGACTAGATGAACTCCAAGGTCCCTTCCAACTTTATTATTATTATTATTATTATTATTATTATTATTATTATTATTATTATTATTATTATTATTATTATTATTATTATTATTAAATGTATCTCCTGATTTGTCCCAAGGGAGACCTGCTGCCTCCGAGATGGATGGAGGGGAATTGGGGAAGCAGCAGCAGCTGGGAGGGGAGGAAGGTTTTCATGGAAATCTTTCTCTGCTGCTCTTTGACCAAAGACTTTGAAAGGGACGGAACTGGGATGCTTCTTCCCAACACAGAAGAAGACGGGACTGTCCCAACCTCAGACTCAGCTGAATCGAGAATGGAGTCCCAGCAAGAGGCCGAGATCTCAGATGCTCCCCAAGAGGGCTGGGAAAACAGGAGAGGAGGAAGCCCTGAAGAAACTCCCCAAAGAGAGAGACTTGGGAGGAACCTCCCCATCTTCCTTCCATCACCCAGAAAAGGATACTTACTGAAGAATACATAGATCCCAACAATCACACACACCAGGACAAGACCAGCCACAACGCAGCCGACGATGAGCCCCAGGTTGGATTCTGGAACTGAATTGGGAGAAAGGGCAGATCACTGAAGGAAAACCCCAAACAATCATCCCAATTGGGGGAAGGACCTAATAAAGCCAAAGGACTGGAAATTCCCAAAGTTAATAAGGAGCTCCTATTCATGTCCCACTAAGGCAGGCATGTCAAACTGCCGGCCCGCGGACCGGATGTGTCATGCCGAAACCATGCCCACCCCATTGCCGGAAATGGGGAAAATGTCTCGATACGTCACACGACGTCATGTCACGAGTTTGACATGCTCGCTCTATGGGAAGTATTCTGGATTGTGTAACTCTATGTAACCCTGACTAGAGCATGTAGGTCTGTATGTTAGAATATCTGGCATTTATTTGGTTAAGTGCTGTCTCCTTAAGAGATGGCTTATGGGTAATGTAGTTTTAGCTAGTCAGCTATCCCATGTTAATAGGTCAGTAGTGGGAGGAAAGGAGGAGCCACTAAAGTTTATTACAAGACTTCCTGGCTATGAGCCTGTTTGGAATGTGCCTTTGTTTCATCCAAGCCTCATGGCTTCTAGCCACACGGCTTGGATGTCCTATGCCAACATGTGATGCTTATGCAGAAGAAGAGGGGAAAATCCATCATCAAATTACCTGTGGAGTGAACCAATACCGCTAAATATGCTTCTGGACGTATCTCTACATAACAGTGAGTTATTGTTTAGGATTCCTAGAAAATAAAGCGATATTCTTTGTTTATTCCTCTAAGTTATCTGTCTGTCCTGGATGGGACTAAAGCCGTCTGTTCTGTCTGGGGCAGAACAGGAAGCATGAAGACACCTTGACAACTATTGTTTAGAGGAGGTGTCCTCGTGATGCTGCCTTTGTCTCACTCCAGCCCAGCATGAAGGCAGCTGTCATTCATCTTTACCTGTTCAGCTCAAAAGCACTTTACAAGCTCGTGTCTCTTGGCAGCTTACAGAAATAAAGACCTCCACAGCTTAATAATATGAACAAAACTTGGGAAACATTAAAAATGTTTTCACTGTTGTTCTTTTTATAGTTTGCCCCAATATCAGGCAACCATCTATTCTGTGCTATTTTTAAACTTGAATATTTGCATTTTATTATTATTAGAAAATCATAGGATTCGTATCACATATCTGCTGCTACAAGCTGTTACAAAACTATTATAAGCTGTACAAGCCAGTTTGATCTAGATCAAGGGTCTTCAAACTTGGCCCTTTTATGACTTGTGGACTTCATCTCCCAGAATTTCTCAGCCAGGCATGCTGGCTGAGGAATTCTGGGAGTTGAAGTCCACAAGTCATAAAAGGGCCGAGTGTGACGACCCCTGATCTAGATGCTAAACCACCAGCCTAGAAAGCAACTCTCTAAGGGATTTACAGAGTCAGCCTCTTGCCCCCAACAATCTGGGTCTTCATTTTACCGATCTCGGATGGATGGAAGGCTGAGTCAACCCTGAGCCGGTCAGGATCGAACTCCTGAAATGAACAATGAGTCACCTTGCAATACTGCATTCTTAACGGTATATTTAAGCTTGAATGTTGGCATCTTATGATTTAAAAATGAAAGGATTATCGCCTCTCTGTTTTTTAAGTATATAGTTTCATTTTCTTTATCTCTTGTAGGATTGGTCTGTCCCCCTAGAGGAGAAGAAAGGAACTAATCCTTCTTTCAAAGACTCTCAGTTATCTGGCCAGGATAGAAATTGTTTCAGCCTTCACATATGGAGCATTTAACTTCCCAGGAATGCAACCCAGGATGTGGGAATCCTCTTGTGGCACACAAACCAGGATTAGGAGGAAGACTCCAGGGAAGGCCTATTACATAATGCCCCCCGACCTCCATCACTCTTTCCTCAAGACTAAACAGGCTAATCCTCCTCCTATTCCTGTCCAGAAGATGCAGTTTCCTCTCCCAGATCAACCTCAATTGGAGTTTTTTTTCAATTACTCTGAATCTGTATTAATGGGGCTTGTCCAGAATTGGACGTTCTGCTTGAGGATCAGGGCAGGACACAGGGAGAAAATTACCTTCAACATTACACACACACACACACACAAAAACCCTTAATATATGCATATATTAAATCCTGGGTATATTCAATCTATACTAAAAAATATATTAAAATAAAACTATATTCAACTAAACCCAAATTAAGGGATTACACGGTAATAATGCATATCCGGTCTCCTATCAACCCCTATTATAAAATGTTTTTAGCAAGCCAGGTATTCTCCAACCAAGACTTGCATCTTTCATTTTTGTTTCCCAAGTGAAGAACATCGCACTGTAAAGGGAGAAGGGTGTGGTAGTTTCTAACGGGGAAAAAATTGAGACCAGCAGCCCTTTGTCTAAATAACGATGCATCAGTCCAGCCGCTTTATCCATTTGATGAAGTCAGCTGCAGTTCACAAATCTTAACAAAATTTGGTACTCAAAATAGGGGCTACCAGATACCTCCTGATTTTTGTAACGAAGCTAAAATTAAGCAAGAGTATATCTGTGCTCAGCATAAGTTCTCTGCTGCAGGTAGGAAATAGGGGAAGAAGAAGGGCTAAGTTATCTAAAGGCATTTCATCAGGATCTGATGGGATTCTGGAGTTTCCTTTACATCTCCTGAAGCCAGTTCTATGGACACGTTCCTGCAGGCCCACCAACTTCTACAATGGAAAAACCAGTGGATTAAAGCTTAGGTATGCTCACATCTGGACACCTCTGGGGATCAGATTTCTTTCCCACAACCCTCCAGCCTGTCAAAGAGCCCAGTCTTTCCCTCCCTGCAGCCTCTCACCCTCCAGGGCCACGTCCAGAGGCTCCTGCAGGCCATCGTGCTCCACATGGCACCGATAGCGGCCCCTCTCTTTGGGATCGATCCGGATGCTGAGCCAGGCATGGAAGGTCCCATCTGCGTTGGGGGCCACGGAGCCACGGAGGGTGTCCTGCAGCCAGACCTCCCCATCCCTCGTCCAGGAGGCATCGATCTCCCTGGGGTAGAAGCCATCCAGGCGGCAGACGTGCGTCTCCATCCCATCCTCCACCTCCAGCTTGCTGCTCATGGTCACCTCTGGGGGCTCTGCAGAAACGGTGCCCCTGGAATTAACTCTCAGCCCCTCCAGAGCCTGGAAGGTGGGTGAGAAACTTGGAGGGGCAGGAAAATCTCCCACTACTTCCCACTCCACACCTGCAGCGTCTCCAAGAGTTTTAGGGAATGCTCCAGATCTGGAAAATACTCAACCACAAGGACTCCTGATTTTGAGTCCTTCCCAGGGACTGAAAAAACTCCGGGAGCAAATTGAGGGTCCAAGGAAATTCCTCTCTGGCTGCTTTGAACTCTGAGTGATCTTGGATTGTTTCCTTCAGGGGAGGGAAAGTGGAGCTGCTCTTTTAGGTTCCCTTTCAAGACAACAACAACACAGAAGTTTCTCCTACTTTTGTGGTTTCCTTCTGCTCCCCTGAATCTGAGGCTGCTCCAGGCCTCTTTCCAAGGGACACAACCACAATTTAAAGAAGAGGAGAGCCAGAATCAAAGCAAAAAGGGCTTTTGGAGTCTCATCCTGGTTAATATGGAACAGATATTCTGTAATTCAAAGGGGAGGGGCAGAGAGAGAGATGATGCCAATGGAAGAGAGAGACAGCCCTCCCAGGGCAGGGAGGAGCTGTTGGCACTTTGAGGTGCGGTGGGGGAATTCCCCAATGGATCCTGATCCTGGAGAGATTAAAGAACGGGGGTAGAGCAAAGAGGGAGGGGTGGACTAAATGGGAAAATAATGACAAACCACAGGAAAAGGTTATGATGTGGACACCCTTGTGGGGTGACGGTGTGTTCCTGAAAGTGGAGATTGAGGAAAGACTAAGTCAGAATTGTGGAAATCTGTTTGTGGTATGAAAGAAAGATTCACAGAAACTTTGTTATTTTTCCCCCCTGGGAACAACCCCTCAACCTTGGCATTTTTTGTCCAACTGATGGCACTGATAATGTCCTACCAATGGTAGACAGGGAGCCCTCTAGTGGTGGATATGAGAGGTGTACCGTCAGGTGCAAAGCAGGGAGAGAGAGCCCCCTGTAGGATGTGGTGGGAAGGACAGCTGCTGGAAGGAAAATATGGGAGCCCCTCACACTTGACTATAGTTTGGGTAATGGTGGTTTCACTGAAGAACCCCAAGAGGCCCTATTGCCTCACTGTGGGCTGTGAACAGGACACCCCCAAGTGCTTTTGCTGCCTGATCCACACAGACACCCACCAGGCAGAGGCTGCATTTCCTGGTCCATTTAATGCAGTGGTTCTCAACCTTTTTAATGCCGTGACCCCAACCGGTCGTAAGTCAAGGACTAAACCGGTTGTAAGTCGAGGACTACCCAACCGGTCATAAGTCGAGGACTTTCCCTGCCCGGGAGTGCCGCGTATGCGTGGTTCCACCCCCTGTGCCAGCCGAGGCGTAGCTGGCAAGCGGCAGAGACGGAGCAGGCCAATCACCAGCTGGCCCAGCCCAAGGGAGGTAAGGCACCCGCCGGAAAAGGGGGAAAAAAATGGCGGACAAAAAAAATGGCAGACAGCCTTGCTTGGCGACCCAAATGGGGTCCCGACCCACAGGTTGAGAACCACTGATTTAATGGCTGCCTGGCAATGGGAACCAAACAGGGCTTCACGTGTCTTGGAGAAGGGCTGGAAGGAGAGGAGGCGGTCAACCAGGCTCTAGACAAGGGACCCAAAGGGGCCAAATGCATCCCCCCCAAAAAAATCCAATTACAAAGAAGGAAAGTCCAGCCTCAATCCAGGTACTTACCTTTTCTCAGTAGCGTCCGGTTCCCGTAGGACAGATACTTCTTTATCCACTCAACGCATTCTCCCTCTAGGTAGACTTTGTTCCTCTGATTCCATGCTGAAAGAGCATCCCATTTCCTCTGGGTGAGCTGGGCCTGGGGGTCAGGAGCCACCCAGCTGAGGGTCTCCTTGTCAAAGTTGAGGAAGCTCTTCCCATTGTATCCAAAGTCATAAAACCCACCTTTGCTCCCATCTCCCCGGAGCTCACAGCCATACATCAACTGCCACGTATGAAGGCCTGAAATAGGGACAAGATCACGGTTTGGTGAGTTCTTAAGGTAGACAGAGAGAGACACACACACACCAACGCCGGGACTCTGACACTAGTGGGAGACACTGATACCCCCATTTCCTCCCTAGCATTCAAGGGAAAGAAAGCCCCCATCACTAATCGCCCTTCTCCCATCCCTCGACCTGCCTCCCTCCATTTTCCCCCCAGGATGGAGCCCCTGAACCTCCCCAGGAAAAGGGAAGCTGGAAAAGCCAGCAGAGGATCCTGAGGGAGACCGAGAAAAGAAGGAGTCGCAGAAGAAACGGAGGGAAGGAGCCTCTCCCTTCTTTCCTTCTGCAGTTCCTCTGTTGGGGAGACTCTCGGGGGGAAAGGAAGGGATCCCAGAGAGGGAACATTTGCAGGAATCTACAGCTGCAAAGAGGAACTGGGAATCTCGTGGCCTCAAAGAGGATCTGGTCAATTTGCAAAAAAGCTTGCAGGGATCCCTGTGATCATGAACCTTGGTCTGAGTTCACAAAGAGCACCATCTTGGGCTAACAAGAAACAAACCATGGCTTAGTTCAATATAGGAATGAAGCCTTGAAGGGCCACAAAGGAATATTTTCCTCAGAGACAACAGCAAGTGGCCCAGTCTGATCTGCATACCCAAAGGGTTACTGACTTTTGAAATGAAGTTTGAAGTTTACAGTCTCTGCAAGGCCCTGGAGAAGAAGTTTCGACTTCAATTCTTGGATTAAAAAAACCCTGAATGTTTTTTAAAAAAAGGAAATCCTGAAAATTTTCTACTTTTGGTTGGGCTTGAGAGTGAGGAAGGATGCCAGAAACTCTCAAATCTGAGGGAAAACCACTTGTAAGTACAGTTGAACTGAACTGACCAGTCCTTTCCCTCCCTTTCCACTCCCATGAGTGACCGGGTGAGGGGATCCTTTCTCTGCAGCTTCTGCTCAGCCTGAGACCTTCCCTTTGGAGGGAGAGGAAAATCCTCCTGAGCTGAGTCTGATCCTGCCCTCCAGAGGAGATTCCCTGATCTGCTCAGGGGAAAAAAAAAGATTCTGGATTTCTGTCCAAGAAGAATCTCCTGCCATTCACAGGAAGGCACTGAATATCTGGCTGCAGTTTTTGTATAAGAACAGACATCTTATATCAAAAGCATCAAAACCTAAGCCAGAAATCATCTTATTTCTACTGAAGATGACATTGTGTGTTCTTCTCTCAACTCTGGCCCAGAACTCAATTTTTGTGCAGGGATCACCTTGAAAAGACAAGTTTCATTTTTTTATTATTAGTTATTACTGTTAATGCATGAAACAATTCAGGCCTATCTCTGAGCCTGGATGTTCAGGGGTTCCCCGAGGCCTGAAACATCGTTCAAAGGATCCTGCTGGGTCAAAAGGTTAAGAAAGGCTGCTTCAGAGAGGCTAAAATATATTTATAACTCCTGTGAAGAATATTTATTTATTTATTTATTTATTTATTATTTACATTTATATCCCGCCCTTCTCCTTGCGGACTCAGGGCGGCTGACAATTGGATAAAATACTAACATATTATACCTATTATACCTAATTAAAATTTGATTAAAACGAAATATTTAAATATGTCAAATTAAAAGTAATTAAAACCCCTTTAAAATCCCTTAGGCCAGTCCCGCTAGCTGGAACAACCACGTCTTGAGGGCGCGGCGGAAGGAAGGGAGATCAGGGATCACCCTGATCTCTGGGGGCAGTTCGTTCCAGAGGGTGGGAGCTCCCAC